GCATCAGTCCTTCCAATGAATACTCAGGGTTGATTTTCTTTAGGATTGAATGGTTTGATCTTCTTAACTTCCAAGGGACTCTCAAGAGTCTTCTCCAGCACTACAGTTTGAAGGCATCAATTCTTTGGTGCTCAGCCTTCTTTATGGTCCAACTCTCATATTTATACATTACTACTGGAAAGACCACAGCTTTCACTATGCAGACCTCTGTCAGCAAAGTGATATCTCTGCTTTTTAATATGCTGTCTAGGTGTGTCACAGCTTTCCTTCCAAGAAGCAGTTCAGTTCAGTTGCTCATTTGTGTCCAACTCTTTGTGACCCCATGGACTGCAGCATGCCAGGCATCTTTGTTCAGCACCTACTCCCAGAGTTTACCCAAAATCATATCCATTGAGTTGGTGATGTCATTCAACCATCTCATCTTCCGTCNTTAAATAAGCAGGGTGACAATATACAGCCTTGACATACTCCTTTTCCTATTTGGAACCAGTCTGTTGTTCCATGTCCAGTTCTAACTGCTGCTTCCTGACCTGCATATAGATTTCCTGGGTGGCAGTTCAGGTGGTCTGGTATTACCATCTCTTGCTTGTTGTGACGCATACAGTCAAAGGCTTTGCCATAGTCAATTAAGCAAAAGTAGATGTTTTTCTGGAATATTTTTGTTACAGGAAGAATCAGTTATTTTCAGCATATTAAAAATATTCTATCATCTGACTTGGTTAGGTTCTAATGAGAAAGTTGCTGTCATTTTATTTTTGTTTCTTTGTATATAACATGTGTATTTTTGTTCCTCTTATTGCTTTTCGATTTTCTCTTTTATCAGCGCTTTTCAGCAATGCAATTGTAATGTGCCTTGATGTGCCTTTTTCTTTAACTTATCCTATTTGGCATTAGTTGAGATTCTTGAATCTAGGGAGGTAGTTAACAACATATAAAACAGTGTTATATCTGAATTGCAAGAAGCTAGGAAAGACTGTATATGCCAAAAAGAGATATGGAAGATAACAGGAAAAAGACCACAAATCAAACTCATAGAAATGAAACACACAGTATAAAAGTGACAGTATATTAGGTATTCTAGAAGACTGATTAGTGAGTTTAAAGCACTAGAAAACATCCCAAATGAAACAAAGAGGAAAGTCTACCACAAACTACCTTAAATTTGTGAGAAGTAAAAGTTGACCTTATTGAATAAAAATGAGATGAGCTACAATGTAATGAAAGATGTGAGAAAGATTCTACAAAGGGAATGGAATAACGGTATATAGCAAATGAGATTAAAAAGATTGCAAAGAGCATATAAGACCAAGCTGAGATTATAAAAGAAGATTTTTATGGATATATTTTCCCATCTGCCACACTAGAAACACCAAAATAATTTTTGCTAATCCTCCTTTCTCTATTCCCTAAGCCATGCCAAGTTAGTCCCATGAATAACCTTCCTGGTTTCTAGTAGTCATCATTCTTTTCACTGACACCCTAGATCTGGCTCTTTTTTGTTTGTCTAGATGTCAGTATGGTCTTCAAATTAATCCGCCTTCCATTCTGAATTGTGTTGCCAAATTCTTTCTCCTAAGGCACCAGTTTGATCATATCACTTTTTTTTTTGCTCTAAAATCTTCAAAGCTTCTGCTGTCTTCTGAATAAAAATTTGGACTATGTTTCACCTGCAATTCAAAGTCCTACTTATTTCTCTAGCTTTTTATAAGTCTTATGGTATATCTGTACTAAATTATCTGGAAATAATTCTAACCAACTTTCATTTTATTGCCTCTTACTTTGTCATTAATGGAAACACTTACTGAGAACATTCAATGTTTTATTTTTGAAAAAAATATATTTATTTATTTACTAATGGTTGTCTCAGGTCTCAGTTGCAGCACACTGGATCTTCGATCTTGTTGCAGCACGCACAATCTTTTAGTTGTAGCATTTGAACTCTTAGTTGCAACATGTGGGATATAGTTCCCTGACCAGGGATTGAATCTGGGCCCCCTGTGTTGGAAGCATGGAGTCTTAGCTACTGGACCACCAGGGAAGTCCCTACAATGTGACATTAATCTAAATTCCAGGGATAAAGTCACTTTCTTTCAACCTAGTTTCATAGAAATCTGATCAATTTCATACAAATCCATATAATGAAGTTTCTGAACTTTCAAAGTTGAAGATCAGACCTAGATAAAAGTAAAGTCACTATGGTACATTCATTTAGGAAATTTTATGTGAAATAGCCAACTGGCCTCTATGTTGAAAACATATGGAATGAATTATCTGCATGAGATTCAAGAGAGAACCCTGAGACAGAAAAATGTATGAGAATCATATTGAAATGAATGAAAAAGTTCTAATTTGTCCATACAGAACAATTTCCCTCTATCTGGGAAAGGATGAATGACCTACACCACAAGAACGAAAAGTTAAAATTTCCCTGCGCTTTGGTGGAATGCTTCTGTGTGTAGAATATGTATTTCACCTCTTTGACAAATATTTTTGTGTATCTACTAATATGCTCTATACTAAATGCATAGGTGAATGAGATCCTAAAAATGGCCTGGAGTCAGAGAAATGAAGCTATGAATATTAATAGCATTGTTTATGGTATATATGTTTCTCTGTGAATAAAACCCAAGACTTTTTGTCAGCAAAGTGAATTACTAAGGTGGGTATGAGTCTAAGTAGTGAGTGCGAGTGAATTATTGGCCAACAGTCTATCATAGGAATACTGAGTAAGCGTGACAATGTGTATTCGTAAAGGGAAAAGTCACCTCATATTTTAGTCTTCTATTAAGATGGCCCAAACTCACACATCAGAAAAGGAATGTGATTAGTCTAGGTATTCAAGCATTTTCAAAGGCCTCTTCTAATTCTTAGGATTATAGAAGTTTATCGTCAAAACTGAATTTTTTGTATTTTCCTCTCTTAAAAGACTACCCAGACACTCTATGTCAAGCTTGTCAAAATAAAGGTTACAATTCTGAGACTGGACTTTCCTTGTGGTTCAGTGGTTAAGAACCCACTTGCCAACGCAGGGGACCCAGGTTTGAGCCATGGTCCGGGAAGACCCCACATCCTGTGGGGCAACTTAGCCGGTGCACCACAACTGCTGAGGCAGTGTGTCCGGAGCCCAAGCTCTGGATCAGGAGAAGAGACGCTGGAGAACGGAAAGGCTACCCACTCCAGTGTCCTGGCCTGAAGAATTCCATGGACTGTATAATCCATGGGGCCGCAAAGAGTCAGACAGGACTGACTGACTTTCACTTCCCTAGGTCTCAGTATACCTAGAAATGCCTCTGGTACAAACCTCAGAATTCTTAGAGCCTTAGAATTCTTGTTTACCCCATTTTATTTAATTCTACGAATTAACATTTCATCCTTCAAAACTCTCTTGGATTTTTCTCTTTCTTGTCAGTTTCCGCTGATTACTACTCAATTTAGTCTAGGGCATCCTCACTTGAAAAATTGTATCATAGTAATAACCTGATAGTTGGTTTTACTGACTGCAACTCTCCTCCAAATAAATCTATCCTATGTAAAGTTGGCAGACTAATCTTAAAAAGAAACAGAGATTATTTTGCAAAATTCCCATCCAAACTCAAGATATTTTGGTGTCTTTCCACTATCACGGCTCTTTTACACTTGAGATATCTAAATGCTCAGGCAAAAGTGTGGCAGTCAATTCAAGGGTACTTGAAGCCACATGAGAAATGTGAAATTTTTCTAGAGTATAATTTTTGCTTGATAGCAAATAATTTAAAAGATTACTCCCCCCTCCTTTTCTTCAACAATATCAAGCAGATATAGAGTTAAATGCAAAAAGAAAAAATACTTTTAAGCTCAGATGCAGAGAATTAGATTTACTATTATTCTTGGCTCCTGACACATTCTCAGCAATCGTTCATTCAAGGCCCTCACATCTTCATTCATTCTGTCAACTACAAATTGGCACTTACCAAGAGCACTGCCACCAACTGAAGAACAAAAGCATTTGCCATCTGCCTCTACCGAGATTGAACCCCACGCTGCTATAGCTGTTGACCTTCAACAATCCCCGAGGGAGTTCAGGGTGGAATGAGGCACTCCAGGGAATCGGGTGGGACAGGTCTTTATTTTTTTTAAAAAAACAGAAAGTTGATTGGTGATGTTTAAGAAAAGGGTTGTGGGAGGGGAGGGCTGGAGGCAGGAGGTTACGTGGGCTGCCCCGCCTGGTCCTCCTGCTGCATCTGGGCGATCAGCTGCTGCCACTCAGCTGCCTGGCGCATGCGCATCATGACGAGGCTCTCGTAGACCCTCTCGGACACCAGAGACAGGTCTTTAGATAGTTGGATGTTTTTAGGAACAGATTTCATGATCTCAATCCTTGCATCTCCTCATATCTAGAAAAGCACTAAATCCCTTCATGGTGACATCAGACCCTCATGACTAACAAAAAACCTGTTGTAAATTGAGTGCTTCATGGTACTGAACTCCCCCTTCACCAAAAACTTATATTGTCTTTCCCCCACTGCTGCATTGGAGCAGTCTCTCAGAGCTATCTGTGATGCTGCCTCCCAGGCAGCAGTCCTCTTTTTGCCCCAAATAAATCTTAACTCATAACTCTCAAGTTGTACATCTTTTTTTTAGTTGACAATTCTTTCATTTAAAATAATACAACAGGACTTTCTTGGTGGTCCAGCAATTAGGAATCCACCTACCAATGCAGGGGCACGGGTTTAATCCCTGGTCCGGGAAATTTCCACTTGCTGAGAGGCAACTAAGCCTCTGTCCCACAATTAGTGAAGTCTGTGTACCACAGAACCTGTGCTCCACAACAAGAGAGGCCACCACACTGAGAAGCCCACTGCAACTAGGGAGCAGCCCTGCTCAATGCAATGAGAATGCCCATGCACAGCAATGAAGACCCAGTGTAGCCAAAAAGTAATTAAAAAAAAAAAAACCAAGAAAATAACAAACGGAAAAACAAAAACGGAAATTAAAATGAAAATCAACCCCTTGAACCCCCAATGCAACAACCAGCCTCTTCCTATTCAAAGTACCACTATCTAAATCATCATTCTCCAAGACGGCAGAGTAGAAGGACATGCACTTATCTCCTCCTGTGAGAACACCAAAATCACAATTAGCTGTTGAACATTCAGCGACAGGACGACTCTGGAACAAACCAAAAAAAGATGTGATGTGAAACTCGCTCAGTCATGTCTGAGTCTGAAACCCCATGGAGTATACAGTCCATGGTATTCTCCACACCAGAATACTGGAGTGGGTAGCCATTCCCTTCTCCAGGGGCTCTTTCCAACCCAGGAATCGAACCAGGGTCTCCTGCATTGCAGGGGATTCTTTACCAACTGAGCTATCAGTGAAGCCACCCACCCCCTCAAAAAAAAAAGGTCCAAAGGCAAAGAAGAAGCCACAGTGAGATGGTAGGAGGGGTACAACCATGATAAAATCAAATCTCATACCTGCCAGGTGGGTGACCCACAAACTGGAGAACAATAATACCAAAGAAGTTCTCCAACTGTTGTGAAGGTTCTGAACCCCACAGCAGGCTTCCCAGCCTGGGGATCCAACAAAGGGACTGCGAATCCCCAGGGAACCTGACATTGAAGGCCAGTGGAATTTGATTACAGGACTTCCACGGGACTGGGAAAAACAGAGACTCCGCTCTTAGAGGGCACAAACAAAATCTTGCACACACCAAGACCCAGGAGAAACAAGCAGCTATCCCCCAGGAGACTGAACTAAGACTCTCAGCTGGTGTTGAGCTGTCTCCTGTGGAGGCATGGATCAGCAGAGGCCCACCACAGGGACACAGGGACGGGGAGCACCTGTCTGGGATGTCCCAGTTGGAAGGTCCTCCTGGAGGTGGCCATTAATCCTACCTTAGACCCGGGGCAAAGCAGGACGTCAAGAAACACTGGAGCAACAGGCAAGTTAGGCCTTGGCGTACGGAAGGAAGCAGGGCAAAGGCTAACAGAGTTCTGCCAAGAGAACGCACTGCTCATAGCAAACACCCGCTTCCAACAACACAAGAGAAGACTCTACACATGGACATCACCAGATGGTCAACACCNATCAGGAAGCTTACACCAGCCTCTTAGCCTTCTCCATCAGAGGGAAGAGAGAAGAAGCAAGAACCACAGTCCCAAAAAAAATCACATTACAGGAAGTCAATGAGGATGAAAGAGCAGAAAGTTATGCCCCAGATGACGGGACAAGATAAAACCCCAGGGAAACAATTAAACAACTAAAAAACAACCAAAGTCAGGATCTCAGGAAAATAGAGATGAATAAGAATAATACACTAGATGGAATAAATAGAATTACTGAGGCAGAAGGCTGGATAAACGACCTCGAGGACAGAATGGTGGAAATCACTGCTGTAGAACAGAATAGAGTAAAGAATAAGAAATGAAGACACCCTGAGAAAGCTCTGGGACAACTTTAAATGCACCAACATTCACAATATAGCGGTCCCAGAAGATGAAGAGAGAGAAAAAGGACTTGAGAAAATATTTGAAGAGATAATAGATGAAAATTTCCCTAATATGGGAAAGGAAATAGTCAACCAAGTTGAGGAAGCATAAAAAGTCACCGGCAGGAAAAACCCAAAGAGCAACACACCAGGACACATAGTAATCAAACTGACAAAAAGACAAAGATAAAATACTAAAAGCAACAAGGGGAAAGTGAGAAATAACATACCAGGGAACTCCCACCAGGCTATCAGCTGATTTCTCAACAGAAACTCTATAAGCCAGGAGGGAATGGCATGAGACATTTAAACCAATTAAAGGGAAGAATCTACAACTAAGACTACTATATCCAGTAAGACTCTCCTTCAGATTTGATGGAGAAATCAAAAGCTTTTCAGACAAGCAAAAGTTAAGAGAATTTAGCACCACCAAACCAGCTTTACAACAAATGATAAAGGAACTTCTCTAGGCAGGAAACACAAAAGAAAGAAAAGACCTACAGAAAATAAACCCAAAACAATTAAGAAAATGGTAATAGAATCATACATATAGAAAATTACCTTAAGTGTAAATGGATTAAATGCACCAACCAAAAGAGACTGGCTGGGAAGATATAGAATGTACATTAGATATATGTGTGTGCATGCTAAGTCACTTCAGTCCTGTTCAACTCTTTGCAACCCTACAGACTGTAGCCCACCAGGCTCCTCTGTCCATGGGATTTTCCAGGCAAGAAGACTGGAGTGGGTTGCTATGCTCTCCTCCAGGGGATCTTCTTAATTCAGGGATCAAATCCACTTCTCTTATGTCTCTTACACTGGCAGGCAGGTTCTTCACCACGAGCACCACCTAGGAAGCCCCAGTAGTTAAATGTGCCTGTATGCAATTCCACTTCCCACATCACTTGCTTGACCCCCAAATTGTACTACATACATTGTTTTATACTGGTAGGTTAACATGTTCCCATTATGGCTCGCAATGTAATGATCTTTTTTGTCTACTGATTCTGAAAACTGATAAATATTTACTATTGTGATTACAAAACTATTACTCACTTAATACCATTGTAGCATGATTGGTCAATAGAAAAATAATAGAACTCTATATCACCAAAACTACCGTTTAATAGAAAAACCTGTAATCACTTTTTAAAATCCTGATGCATATCCTAGTTATCTTGGAATTTTTTGAAAAATACAAACTCCCAGGTATTGTTTTATTTTCTCCAGAGCTCCAGATGTTTCTAATGAGCAGTCATGTTTAAAAACAACTGTACTATATGATGATTTTATACTTTATCTAGGTTGTTTCAGTTTTTCTATTTCATATTCAGTACTCCCATTTCAATTAGTTTGTTTTCCAATTTCTCCGTCTCCTTTTTTGTTTTTGTATGTCCTTTCTCAAGGCTTTATCAAGCATAGTAGCTTGATATATACATGTGAAGTTGCTCAGTCATGTCCAACTCTTTGCAATCCCGTGGACTGTAACCCACCAGGCTCCTCCGTCCATGGGATTTTCCAGGCAAGAATAATCCAGGCAAGAATACTGGAGTGGGTTGCCATTTCCTTCTCCAGGGGATCTTCCGGACCCAGGGATCGAACCCAGGTCTCCTGCATTGCAGGCAGACACTTTAACCTCTGAGTGATATATAGGTATATGTATTTTGTATATATAAAAAATATTTTTTGTATATATATATTTTTTGTATATATATTTTCAGTTCAGTCACTCAGTCGTGTCTGACTCTTTGCGAACCCATGGACTGTAGCACATACATATAATATGTATAATATATATATTTTAGATAAGTTATGAAATTTTGCCTAATTGAAACATTTATGACATTTTGATTCCACTTATTTGACTTAGTATGAATAGAATGCTTGATTTCTAATTAAAAAAATATGCAATTGTATAGCACAGGGAACTCTAGTAAAGATCTTGTAATAACCTATAATGGAAAATAATCTCACAAATACATGTGTATATGTATAAGCTTGCAACTGAAACACTGTAAGTCAACTATACTTAAAGACATGTATATATTAAAAACAATCATTTTCTTGATTTTCTTTTATTATCACCTATGTATACGTACATATACATATATATTCCTAAATACTGTTGTGGAACTTAGAAGTTATTAACATTATAAAGTCTACATCATGCTGTATGTAATTCTTATATTCTTTTCACTCAATATTGTATTGATAGGATTAATTGAGGCATGCTTGTGTGCATGCTCAATTGCTTCAGTTGTAACCCTGTGGACTGTAGCTTGTCAGGCTCCTCTGTCCGTGGGATTCTCCAGGCAAGAACATTGGAGTGGGTTGCCACGCCCTCCTCCAGAGGATCTTCCTGACCCAGGGATCACACCTGCATCTCCTGCACTGCAGACGTTTTACCTACTGAGCCCGCTGGAAAGCCCACTATTAAGGACTATAACTGTAGCACTGTGTGATCTGGAGTATATATCCTAATTTATCTATCTTCTATTTGTACATGGGCATTTGGGTTGTTTTTAGATTTTGATATTAAAGAGAATGCTCATATGAACAATCTCGTATATATCCTGTTCAACTTTCTTTTGGGTATGTACCTAGGAGCAAAATGGTAGGTCATGAGGTACGCAAATGTTTATCTCTACAGGGTAATGACAAACTTTTGAAGGGGGCTGTACCAATTTACACTCCCACAAGGATCAAAAGATTCTGCTGATCCATATCCTCTAGATATGGTCCAAGTTAACAAAATCTTTTAAAATTCATGGTACCATATGCACAATATCAAGCCTACCTTTTTAACTGTGTCTCAGAGTACAGTTCCCCTGTCATGGATAACAGCTTTGACATGTTGAAGAGGCTTGCATAAGTCAATGAAGCTATGAGCCATGCCGTGCAGGGAAGAGGAAATGAGGACCATTCCAATGCTCTTGCACTGGACAGTAAGAACCCCACTGACAGTAAGAAAAGGCAAAAAGATACGACCCTGGAGCAACTACTAACAGCTCCAGAAAGAATGAAGGGCTGAAAAAACAAAAGCCAAAACCACAAAGCAACTGGGCTAAAGTGCATACAACACTCAGTTGTGGATGTGTCTGGTGGTGATAGTAAATTCCAATGCTATAAAGAACAATACTGCATAGCAACCTGCAATGTTAGGTTCATGAATCAAGGTAAATTAGAATGGTCAAGCAGGAGATGACAAGACTGAACACTGACATCTTAGGAATCAGTAAAGTAAAATGGATGAGAATGGGCAAATTTAATTCAGATGATCATTATGTATATTACTATGGGTAAGAATCCCTTAGAAGGAATGGAGTAACCCTCTTACTCAACAAAAGTCCAATTCATTCATATTGCTGAACAACAATCAGCCACCACATCCATCTTCAGAACTTTTCATCACCCCAAACTGAAATTCTGTTTCTATTAAACAATAACTCTTGTCTCTCTCCTCTTCCCAGTCCTGATCATCCACCATTCTACTTTCTATGTCTATGATTGACTACTCTAAGTACCTCGTGGTGGAATCACACAGTATTTATCCTTTTGTAACTGGCTTATTTCACTCAGCATAATGTCTTCAAGGCTCATCTATGTTGTAGCATGTATTAGAATGCCCTTTTTAAGACTTAATAATTTTATATATATATATATATATATATATAAGGAAAGTGTAAGTATATATGTAAGTATAAGGGAAGAAGAGAAAACTGGAGTTTGGGTGAAAGAACTGCATAGATTCAGTTTGGAATATCCACATGAAAATGCCTAGTTGGCAGTTAGATACTAGGTCTGAAAATCAGAAAAAAAATTTCAGCTACCAGTGGATAGATGGTAACTGAAGCTATTGAAGAAAGTAAGGTCACCAGGAAAATGAATAGAATGAGAAAAAGCTAGTCCAAGGATTATGTGCCAGGTGGTTTAATAAGAACCAAGAGTAACAGTTAACACTTAATGTGAACTTTCTATGAGCCAAGTACCATTTTAAATACTTTACTCACATAATTAAAAAAAAAAACCCTTTGGACTTAGGTGCTATTATCATTATGTCACTTAAGGAAACCAAGGGACAGTGCAGTGAAAGAATTTGCCTAAAAGTGCACATCTACTTGAGTGGTGAAGCTGAGACTTGAAGACAGGTAGCCTGACTCCAGAATTTTGCCCCTAACGTTATATAAACCTTATAGTATTCTGGAAAGTAGATATTTTTACCTCCATTTCACATATATAAAAAAAAAAAAAATGAGGCTCAGAGAAATTAAATTCCCTTCCAAAATAATACAGGTTGCATGAAGTAGGGTTACAATTTAAACCTAAAGGCCATATTCTTTCATACCTCAGTTGAGAGAAGGGATTTGATTTCTCTCATAATCTTTTACAATGCTAAGTCTGGTAGTAAATATAACTGTTACCACTAGTAATGTGAGAACACTGAAGTTCAGCTCCCACTTACCTTGCACAGAAAGTTACTCGAGGTTGTACCACAACATAAAAAAGAAAGTATAAACTAAGGCAGAAGATGCGGGTCCAGGAAATAATGACTCCTATCCTAGAGAAGAGTGAGATGAAGTCCCAGGACATAAGCCTTGTAATAGTCATAAAAATTAGAGCAGGACAGTGACTTTTTGGAGTGGTCTTCAGGGACAAAACTTTAAAACTTAAAAATTAGTACAACTGAGTGCTTAAGACATGATAAAGGAATCTGGAAGCATGCAATAAAGACATCATTGAATTGCCTCTAGCACTATTCTTCAGCAAGAGGGTCACAGCATTACCCTAGAGAGGGCTTCTCAGGTGGCACTGGTAGTAAAGAATCCACCTGCCGATGCAGTAGACATAAAAGACAAGAGTTCAATCCCGTGGTCAGGAAGATACCCTGAAGAAGGGAATGGCAACACACTTCAGTATTCTTGCCTGTAAAATTCCATGGACAGAGGAGTCTGTCAGGCTCCTATGCATCCATTGGGTCGCAAAGAGCTGGATATGACTCAGCAACTAACACACACAGAGAAGGAAATGTTATCCTAACAGAAGACAGTTTTGTAGTAAGTATTAACTGAGGAATAATTTAAATGCTTTTTATTACATTTTATCACCTCTGGATGAGATGCATCTTACAATCATGGTTTTATTATTTTCTTTCTTAGTAGTACATAAAATAATAGCATGTTGGATTTGATCAAATGCACGTGCCACAGTTTTATATGTTTTATAATATACTCTAATTTAATCTTCATAATGGTTTCATGTAGTTGATGCTATTACTATTTTACAGGTAAAGAAATTGAGGCTCAAAGATATTAACATGTTCAAGGACTGCTGTCAATTAAGTGGAAAAACAAGTACTACAAACCAGGTATAGAGAATTCCCTGGCGGTTCAGTGATTAGGACTCAGTGCTTTCACTGCCGGGCCCCAGATTTGATCAGCAAGTCTTGTGGCATGACGGCAAAAAAAGAAAAAAAAAAAAAAAGCACAGAAAGGAAACCAAGAGAGAAAACCAAGTCTAACTTCAAAGGTCATGCTCTGTTGTACCTCAACATTTACCATGGGTGATACAAAGCTGAATAAAAACCATCCAAGTTGAATAGTTCAAATGGGATGAAGCTTTTCCAGCTCCTCCAGAAAGAGCCAACCTTGCCCTCCTCTGTGCTCGTAACATTTTGTGAACATCTCTGTGGATGTAAAACGTCACTTGCCATGTCAGCAAACATCAAGCCCTCAGCCACCATTCAGCCCTGAGGGAGTTCAGGGAAGAGACCAACAGGCCGCCCACCACCAAGCTGTCAGCCACTGCAGTGGTCCCCAGCGGTGCACCCTGAGGGGGTTCAGGAAGGGTACTGGACCCGGATAGTTAAGGTGCACATCAGAGGAAAAACTTCAATAAGCCCAGACTCTAGCATCTTCCCATATATGGCTAAATTCATTAACTTGAGATGTCTGCTTTTTCTTTAATTAGCAGTGACCGTTTGACTTCCAACCCGGTTTTTGTTGTAAAAACTCCTCCTGGCTCATCCCATACCCCTTCAGAGCAGTCCCTCAGAGCTTCTTGGCTGCCTTCAGGGCTTAAGGCCTCAGAAAGACTTCCAAACAAAAACGTTAACTCCCAACTTTGAGGTTTTAAGGTGGTTTTTGTTTTTTGGTTTTTTTTTTTTTTCAGTCAACACCTCTCTTACATCTTATCATAACATGTAACTTCCAAGGAAGTCAGGAATAGTATCTTAATTACCGTTTCCAATCACTGTAGTGTCTACCAGTGATCCTCACATGCGTAGTAGAAGCTCAGTGTCGTTAAAAGGAAACAGGATGTCTGCCACTAAGTCTAAAGAGGAGACAGGAAACGCATATATAAGAAATAAAGGCCAAATACAGTTGTTACAGGGAAGTTATAAATAAAGTGCATTGGTGTTTAGGAGAAAAGAACACAGAACAAACGTACAAGTTAAGGGGAGGTAGTTCCGCCAGCTACCTGATTTTCATACACACACACAGACATACTCAGTCTGGAAAACCTGCAAAGGCTGAAACTAAGTTGCTGAGACAACTTCTTTCTTCAACCATTTTTCCTGTATGGCAGGCGGATTCTTTACTTTCTGAGCCACCAAGGAAGTCCTTTAATAAGTTACCAGCATTTATAGATTAGAACATTTAAAATTTCACATAACTCAGGATTTGGGGATTTTCTTGAAAAATGGGAAGATATTGGAAACTGGGTGCTCACTATCCAAGGTAAATTGGTTACAAGCATCAATAGTTCCTTTCAGATCAAGCTCGTGCTCCCTTACTCACTGTAGTACCTCCCATCATTTTCTTAAGCCCACCCTGTGTAATGGTGGTTATATGACCACCCCCTAAGACATGCCGCTCACTGCTCTATTACACACCACTTATTTTCAAGGACTGCGTTGCCTTTCTCCAAAACACTGACTCCTCTAAGCCACTGCTTCAATTTCTTTCATTAACCCCCTCTGACCACCTGCTGAAACAGGTCCCCGCAGCATTCTGATCACACCTCTATAAAAGTTCTAATCACATCGTATTCACAAGTTTCTCTCCTTTGCTAGGATGGGAGTGCCTGGAAGCCAGCGGCCCGGGGCTCATTGATGTTCGCGCCTCCAGCCCCAAATTCGTGACCTGGAACCTAAACAGAGTTTAGGTATGTTGTGTTTGGAAGCCAATTTCCCAACTTTAGGCAAACCGAAACTAAACTATCTACTCGGCCTTAAATGTGGGACTGAGACAGAAACACAGACAAGCAGACGAGTCAAAACACGCACACTCGGGGCGAAAAAAAAGAGTACCCCAGTACCGCAGCTAGCAGACGTTACCAGAGGAAGTCCGACCGCTACAACTAGGTCTCAGCCACTCCAGCTCCAACTCTCGCGAGGTTGGGATTGAAAGCCAGCCCATCTACCCCAGAAACTTGCATCGCGGTTTCCGCAGGATTCTCGCGGCAACAGGGCACGCCAGAATGAGCACTTCCTCCGCTGCGCCCAGGAAGCGGAAGTGAGACTTCTTGTCTGTCAGAGTCGGGGTGTTACTCCGCGGTCCTGAAATCTAGGAAAATCGTTTTCGCTTCACTTTCTCTGGCTGTCAAGGGCTTCCCCCTTGGAGAGTGGGAGTGCAGAGAGTGAAGCGCGAGATGAGCACGATGTTCGCAGACACGCTGCTCATCGTTTTTATCTCCGTGTGCACGGCTCTGCTCGCCGAGGGTGAGAGTAGCTGTTTATTTTTTGGCGTGTGATCAGACCCCGAGGGAAAGGAAGGATCCTAGGCCCGGGGTCCCTCGAGCCTCCAAGGTCTCCCTTGGAGTCACCAGCCTTGCTTCCTCTGGTGGCGGTGGGGATGGGTCTCATGTACTCTACTTCAGGGAATCTTACCTTCAGGACTGGGAGGGAATCCAGTGTGGAATCCATTGCCAGGTTTCTCCGGTCCAGGGTAGATTTCATTTGCGTGTTTGTGGCGACAACTTCGAATCGTGTCATAGGTGTTTTGGTTGAACATCAGTTATTAAGCACTAGTGAATATAAAGCAAAAAGTCGAAATCCACTCTTACCTAACAGTAGCCAATAATAAGAGTTATTGTGACGATTCCAAACATTTCTCTGTTAGCATGCTGCTTTTAATATTTCAGGTATAACTTGGGTCCTGGTTTACAGGACAGACAAATACAAGAGACTGAAGGCCGAAGTGGAAAAACAGAGTAAAAAATGTAAGTATACCAACATCCTTTAGAAACAAGTCAGGTTTACTGAAGTGCGTGTTCACAGTATCTTAGGAGCACCAACTGTTATAAAATTTTATAAGAATACAAAGGTGAATCCGACTTGAAGTCTGTTTAGAAATATAAGACTTTTATGCAAAATATGTACTGCAAACCTCAGCAGAGCGAGTCACGGGAGCGGTACTTGTTATGTGTTGTGGTAGTTTTAAAGAAGATATCCCGTTCAGTTGTGAGGGGCCACGGAAGCCTTTGTGATGCAGATAGCCTTGGAGTCCTTGGGTAGTTTGAATTTGGACAGAGGATGAGATGGGGAAGGATTCCAGGCAAAGAAGATAGCATATGTGCAAAAAATGTGGCAATTGTAACAAGTAAGATGTGTTTGGAGAACATCAGGTCATTATGATTGGTGTCAAGGTTAAATGGTGTCTTTAGGGATAAGCCCAATTTTCAGTTGGGTCTGATGGTTGAAGGAATATTTGATAAAAGGGTTAAGAGCAAGTCGAATTGTTTTTGAAATAAGACAGGAATTCCACAGGATACAGCTGAGGGAGCTGCTAGAGGTATAATGTGGATGGTTCCGTATAGGCTTGGTCTGATTTTCAGTCTTCTGTCTTATAAAGATTAACTTTCACATCTTTCAGTATTCCATAACTTTTCTGTATGTATTCATAGGAGTTTGAAGTCTTCTTTCTTACAACATGCCATTTCTGATATTCACATAGCAACCATTTGTGTAAATATTGTTGTAGAAATATTTTTCTCCCTTTGTAAAAAAGGAGGTTGAGACTCAGAAAGGTTAAATGACATGTTAATGTATCAGACAAACAAAGAATTAGAAACCAAACCCAGACCTTTCAAATTACAGTTTACAGTTCCTTCACTTATTCAGTGTTGATAATGTACCTCAACATATTTAAAGCCAAACTCATTGTCTTTACCTTCACACATGTGATCCTTTCTTAGGATTTCTGTATTTGGAGAATGGTACTTCCTTGCTTCCAATGGTACAAGCCAGAAACTTTGCTATACTTTCTTCATTTGGCTTTCAGGACACCACTTTCTTGGTTTTGCTTTTGTTGATTGGTCATTCTTTTGCAGTTTCCTTGTTGGTTCCTCTTCTTGACCTCTTACTGGGAGTGACCCAATTTTTTTTTTCCTCTATACTTTTTTTTTTTTAATTGAAGGATAATTGCTTTACAGAATTTTGTTGCTTTCTGTCAAACATCAACATGAATCAGCCATAAGTATACATATATCCCCTCCTGCCCCATCCCACCCCATCCCACCCCTCTAGGTTGATATGAGCTCCTGTTTGAGTTTCCTGAGCCATACAGCAAATTCCCAGTGGCTATCTATTTTACATATGGTAATGTAAGCTTCCCTGTTATTCTTTCCACATATCTCACCCTCTCCTCTCCTCTCCCCGTGTCCATAAGTCTGTACTCTGTGTCTGTTTCTCCATTAGTGGTCCCTCAAGCGTGTCTGACTCTTTCTGACCCCATGGACTGTAACCCACCATACTCCTCTGTCCATGGGATTTTTCCAGGCAAGAATACTGGAGTGGGTTGCCATTTCCTTCTCCAGAGGATCTTCCTGACCCAGGTATTGAAGCCGGGTCTCCCGCATTGTAGGCAGACCCTTTACCATCTGAGCGACCAGTTGCTGCCCTGTAAAAAAGTTTTTCAGTACCATTCTCCTAGATTCTATGTATATGTGTTAGAATATGATATTTATCTTTCTCTTTCTGACTCACTTCATTCTGTATACTAGGTTCTAGTTTCATCCACCTCATCAGAACTGACTCAAATGCATTCCTTTTTATGGCTAAGTAATACTCCATTGTGTGTATGTACCACGACTTCTGTACTGATTCTTTTTTTTTTAACTTATTTATTTTAATGGGAGGCTAATTACAATATTGTAGTGGTTTTTGCCATACATTGACATGAAATCGGCGATGGGTGTACATGTGTCCCCCATCCTGAACCCTCCTCCCACCTCCCTCCCCATCCCATCCCTCAGGGNTAAGGCCTGAAGCTGAAGCTCCAATTCTTTGGCCACCTGATGCAAAGAAATGACTCATTGGAAAAGACCCTGATGCTGGGAAAGATTGAAATTAGGAGAAGTGGACGACAGAGGATGAGATGGTTGGATCGCATCACCATCTCGAACATGAGTTTGAACAAGCTCTGGGAGTTGGTGGTGGACAGGAAGGCCTGGCGTGCTGCAATTCATGGGGTCACAAAGAGTTGGACACGACTGAGCAACTGAACTGAACTGATGGCAGTTCTCTTTCTAGTTTTTAAGGAATCTCCACACTGTTCTCCATAGTGGCTGTACTAGTTTGCATTCCCACCAACAGTGTTAGGGGGTTCCATTTTCTCTGCACCCTCTCCAGATTTATCATTTGTAGACTTTTTGATAGCAGCCATTCTGACCAGCATGTGTACTCTTTTAATAAACTCACTTATGTGCTCTATTTGCCATTGACCTCCAGATGTATGTCCTTAGTCTTTTATCCTTAATGCAAGATTCAGATATCCAATCATCAACTTATTAATTCTACTGGAAGGTCTAATAATCATCTCAAACCTAACCTGTCCAAATTGAACTCTTGTTCCTCACTTCTAAGCCTATTATGTATGTAACCTTCACAATCTTGGTCAGTGGTAATACTGTCCCTCCAGGTGTTCAGGACATAATCCTTCTGTTGTTATCTTTAATTTTTCTCTCACAGCCACATCCAGTACTGTTGGCCTGCCTTCAGATATATCCACAGTCTGACCACTTTACATCATCTCCACTGCTGACTACCAGAGTCTAAGCTGCCATCATTCTTTGCAGAATTATTATAATAGCCTCAAACAAATGTTCCTGTTTCCCTGTAGTCTATTCTCAAGAGAGCAACCAGAATAATCCTTTTTTATAGAATATCAGTTCATGTCCCTCCTCTACTCATAACTCTGTGATGGTGTCCGATTTCACTCAGAGGAAAAAACCACCAAGTTTTTAGAGGTCCCAAGTTACAGCTCTGAGCTTCTTTCCCTCTCACTCACTGTGCTCCACCCTCACTGACCAGTTGCTGTTCCTCACTGCTCGTCAGCCTCACTGCTATGTCAAGACCTTTCTAATGGCTGTGCCCAGTACCTAGGATGTTCTTCCCTGTCAAATCTGCTTACCTAACCCTCATGCGTGCTTAGTCGCTGAGTCATGTCCAACTCTTAGCAACCCCATGGACTGCAGCCCGCCAGGCTCCTCTGTCCATGGGGTTCTCCAGGCAAGAATACTGGAGTGGGTTGCCATGCCCTCCTCCAGGGGATCTTCCCAACCCAGGGATCGAACCCAGGTCTTCCACATTGCAGGTGGATTCTTTACCAGCTGAGCCACCAGGGAAACCCAAGAATACTGGAGTGGGTAGCCTATCCCCTCTCCAGGGGATCATCCTGACCCAGGAATTGAACTGGAGTCTTCTGCATTGCAGGCAGATTCTTTGCCAGCTGAGGTTCCAGAGAAGCCTATATCTTCATATCTTCTTTAAATCTTTGTAGCTCACCTCCGCGAGTCTTGACTTGGCTGCCCCATTTGAAACCGCTCTACCACTGCTGCTCCTTACCTCCTTTATCCTCCGTTTTGCTTTGAGCCATCTGCTAGAATGACACTTCACTGGAGCAGGATGCTTTTTTGTTTGTTTGTTTTTAATCATTTTTGTCTACTGATTTATCCTATACACTTAGAACAGTGGTTGGCATGTGCTCAATGTCTAATAAATATTTGTTGATTCAGATACTTTCTTCTGTCACACTGTATGTGCAGTCCATTGTCAAGACCTGATACTTTATTGTCCTCCTGAATTGTTTTCAGTCTTTCCACATCTCTTCATTTCCCCCACCATCACCCAGTCTAGATTTCTATCAAGTTTCATTTAGTCTACTGTGACAGCCTCCTCATTACCTGCTGCTGCTCAAATGTCCTCCATACAGAAACACCTGGAGTAATTTTTCAAAACACAAATATGATTATGTTACTTTTCCTTCTTAAAACACTCATTTTTCCCATTCCTTTGAGGACAAAGGTGTGGCCTGCAAAGTCCAGCATGGTCATATGCCTCCCTGTCTCCTCTCTGACCACATCTGTGTCATGTTTTCCCTACTCTTCCTCTAGCCATCGTCTGAACTAAGTTTGCTTTTTCCTGCTATGCAGTTGGGCTTTTTTTTTTATTAGTTGGAGGCTATTACTTTACATCATTACAGTAGTTTTTGTTATA